ACGGCGGCGAGCCGGCGGCGGCGGCGGCGCTGCGGGCGGGGCTGGCGGATGGCGAGGCGAGGCAGCTGATCGATGTGGGGCACCGCTGCTGACCAAGCGACACCTGCCAGCCAGCTGGCACCAGCCACAGCACACGGCGGGCGGGCTTCCCCCTGCCCCGGTTCCTGTTGTGCGCGCATGCCCCACTTGGGCATGCCAGCCGCCAACTTGCATTCCTGTTACACATGTTTGCATTTCGCATGCAACAACATGAATACAGGGGCGGCACGTGCTGGCATGGGGGGTGAAGGGGCAGAGGGCCTGGGTGCTAGGCGGTTTGAAAAACGGGGTTAATAAAAAAAACTAAAGACAGATTCGATCGAGGAGCAATAATATGAGTAGGATGAAAAACAATGCAACGGGAAAAAACGTGATGGATGCAAAGTAGAGAGGCCGCTGGGTCACCGACGGCGGCTGGCTTGGGGACAGGGTAAAGATAGTGTGCAGGGCGGTCGGCTGTAGTATCAGGATAGGGGCAAGTCTTGCTGAGGAGCCAGGGAGGAGCGCTCCACCCGGCTTGGACATGTATTCTTGCTTATGATGCTCGCTGCAGCGGCAAAAGCGCACAGCTGCGCCGCCTGTTTAGCAGGGACACAGGCGTCCCGCCGCGAGCGGCGGCGATCAGCGTGCTGCAGCTGACGCTCTGCGCAGAGCGTCAGGTTCATCAATGTGTGGACTGCTTTGGTGCCGGCCCGGTGGCCAGCCGTCAGGCGTGCACCGCCACGAGGGACCACATGCACAGCACTGCAGCAGGGCGTGCACATGCATCAAGCTCGGGCGAACGACAGTCACTGGCAGGTGCTGGTGGGCGAGCGGGGGCTGGCCGGCCCCAGGCGGCAGGCTTGTCAAAGGTCAGGCATATGCATGCATGCATCCCATGACTGCATGCCCAACTCAGTAGCCTGCCGCACCATGTCCGACCTACCAGCCGGCACAACACGCCTACAAGCCGTACCACCCCACCCAACATGCCTCACCCAACAGGCGCAACCCACCTGCCGGAGCAGCAAACATGCTGTACTCAATCAGGGTGGGCACCGCCTCGCGCCGGGGCGGCGCCCGCCCGCGCGCCACCTGTGTCTCCACATGCTGCGCCAGGAAGGCGCGGCGCTGGCGCAGCTCGGTGCGCCAGATGTACAGCGTGGGCAGCAGGAAGCCGAGGAGAAGCTGACTGCAGCGCGGGGGCGCGTGCGACGTGTGCGGTGGGTGTTGGTGGTGGCGGGCCGGGTTGGCGAGACAGCAGCGGTGCATGCGTGCAACTAAGCAGGCGTGGGTGTGGGTGGTGGTCGTGTGCATGCGTCAACAGGGGAGCAGGGCGTGGGCAGGCGCCGATGCAAGGCCCAGCCCAGCCGCAGCGGCGGCAGGACAGCCCGCGGCGGCACCCTCCAGCCCACCTGACGGGCTGCCAGGAGACGCACAGCTCGGTAGCATCCTCTGGGCCGGCGCCTGCCACCAGCCCTAGCCCCGCCCTGGGCAGCTGGACCTCTGCATCCGCCGCCATGGCATGCATGCAGGCGAGGCGCACCGCCTCCCGTGCCGCCGGCGGCGCAGCCAGCACAGTGGCGCCGCAGTCGCGGCCGGCGGCGTAGGCGAAAAAGGCTGCCCGGTGGCGCCGCAGCGCCAGCAGCGGCGCCAGCGCCAGGTTGTTGCGGCACAGCGTGCGGTTGTACAGCAGCAGGAGGATGGTGAGGGCGGCCTGCTGCGGCAGCGCCACGCGGAAGCTCAGGCTGTTCCACACGCTGTTGAAGCACTGCCACAGCCAGCCGCTGCCCGTGGCCAGCACCGCCGCCATCTGCGGCCACGTGCCGGGGTTGGCAGGCAGGCGTTGGGTGGGGTGTGGTGTGGCGGCCGGCAGGAACGGGCTCCAGGGCGGGGCTGGCAATTGCAAGCAGGCTGGCGCTGCGGCCTCGCGCCGCGGCACCGCCATGCCAGGCCTCAGGAGGAGGTGGCGAGGGCAGGGTGGCTGCACTTGCGCACAACGCACACGCTGGCACACATACCTGGAAGGTGGATGGGTACCCAGACTTCGGGCTGGGGTAGAGGTGGTGGTGGGTGTAGCAACCGAGCCCCATCTGTAGTAGGTTGTCAAAGACCTTGATGGGGGTGCGCCACCTGGGAGGCACGGCAGGCGGATCCAACAGAGGGGGAGGCGAGGGGTGGGGTGGGGGTGGGGTGGGGGGCCAACTGGCGCTCGGCGCCGGCAGCGGACACAGCCTGCCGGCGCCAACCCAATCCAACATGCGCGCCTCCTGCTCTGCCTCGCCACTCCTCATTCTCCCAGGCCATGCCTCATTGTCCCAACCCCCCTCCAGGCCAGCGCCCCCGCTCTCGCTCACCCAAGGTACAGGCGGTGCGGCAGCCAGTGCGAGACGGCTGGCAGCGCCAGCACCAGCACCACGGCGGCGGCCACGGGCCACTCCCGAGACGCCAGCACCCGCAGCAGCACCACACACCAGATGGCCGCCCGGTTGAGGTGGAACTGCAGGGAGATGCGAGAGGGGAGGCGGGGTGAAGGGAGGTTCGGCGCAGCAGGTACAAAGGGAAGGAAGCTGTGCGTGCGGGCGGTGCATGGGCGGGCGGCGGGAGCGGGGCCGCGGCGGCAATAACTCCAGGAACCCTGCTGGCCCGGGGGGGCGCGCCCCCCCTGCTGCGCCGAGAGCCCGCACGATGCCCAGGGCTGCGGCTCCGCCTCCAGGCATTTCCGGGGCAGACTGCCGTCGTACGCCACTGAACTCTACCTTTCGAGGAGAGGTGTCGGGGAGCACCCACCGGGCATGCCACTCGTCGTGGGCGGCTCAGCGCAGCAAGGGTCCGCCCTCACCTGCTTGCCCAGCTTTCTGCCGCGGCTCGCCTGCAGTTCGGCGAACTGCCGCTCCAGGGAAGCGTCTTCAAATCTCAGATCCGCTCGCATGGCCGTGAAGGTCCATTCTGTTCAGGGTTACAATTACAATTTGGCCAACTTGTCACAGGAGCCACACACTGCCAGCAGCAGCACACTGGCTGAACAAGGCGTTTAGCGGCCCTCAAGCAGCTCAGTGGGGCAGGTAGCCACCAGAGCCCTGGCCACGCTGGAATGGGGGCCTGCATGAGCCTTGCATGTGTTGCCCGCTTGCTGGCACTGGGTTTGAATGGCAGCCCAGGTTTTCCTGGAGCAGCCACAGGCAGCAAGGGCAGTGGTTTCTGCTCCTTCCTGCCCCAGTGCACGCTGCTAGCACCAGGTGCAAGAGACGGGGGGGAATTGCGGCAGCATTCGCATGACCCACCCGACCCACCCTGGCGAGGGTTAAAGGCAAGCCGTGGCACGGTGTCCCACTTGGATTGGTTGCGGGAACTGCCATGAAGTCAACGCCTGCGGCCCTGCTGCGCTTGCTGTGCCGACGTCAGCGTCGCCGCCGTGAAGCCAGGCGGCGGTGCGGCCATGCAGGGGCTGGCGCTCCTGCATGGTTACGTGGGACACAGCGGGCGTTACATCGGGGCGTGGTGATGCTGAGAAGCGCTGTGCCGCCGGAGACGGCCAGGCTCCCCAGCCCTCACCGCATGCAGGTGCTGGCCTGCTAGCCTGAAGCACTCCCAGGGTTCAGCTTTGGCTGCCAACCAGGCAGGCCAAAGATCTGGGCAACCTACTTCACTCACCACCTGGTGTGCTGCTGAGCAACACGTGGCTCGTTGCTGTGGCAAGTTGGATAATGGGCCGGTTTGAGGAGAGAGCGAGATGGGCGCCATGTCAGCGTCGGCCCGCTCCTGGAGGGCGGCCAAACCTCTGGGTGATGCTGGATGGGGGTGAGTGGATCGCCCTCCATATCTTTGAATCATCTGTGGGATGCGACAGGAACTTTGAAGCAGACATGGCGCCCACAGGCGGGCAAATGCGTGTGGAGTCGCCACCCCGCCTGCGCCCGCGACTCGGCGGCGAGGCTGGGAGTGGGGCTGTGTGCTCTGTGATCATCGCTACCACAGCAGTGCACAAGCACAGGAGAGGGATACTTGCAGCAGCATCCAATGAGAAGAGCAGACGCCATCTGGGGCAGGCTGAACCCCTGCATGGGAGCACAGCGTGCGCTGTGCAGTGCATGCTGGGCCTAGCCGCCGCCAAGTCCAGCCGCGTTCACGACCCGTTATTGTCGTTTCTTCTCCATCACATCTCCAGTCCAGTTCAAGCAGCTCTACAGCCAAGGGGGCGCTGCGAGGGCTCCCTCCGGGGGCCCGCCCCGCAGTGGCGGCTCCAATGCAGTCCCCCTTCGCCACGCTCCCCGATGCGATCGTGGCTGACCTCATCTTCGCGCACTTGCCGGCGGCGGAGCTGGTGGAAACGGTTCCACGGGTGTCCCGCCAGTTCCGCCGCTGCGCCTCGCTCCCGTCGGCGGCATGGCGGGACTTCGAGGTGTGTTGGTGCACCTGGACCCCAAGACAATGTTCAAGACGCTGCCACGATTGATTTGCAGTGCCGGCATGCCAAGTCATGCAAGTGCATCAGCACAGGCCCCTGTTCCAGCCTGTTTCTCCGCCTCTGCTCGATCGCAACATGCGCGCGCCGCTCGCCCCCCTGGCCCTGTCGTCCTGCTTGCAGTGGCGCTGCCGCAGCCTGGAGAGCTGGATGGGCCTCCTGCGCTTCCTGCGCCCCCGCATGCCCGCCATCCACACCCTGCGCCTGCGGCTGGCCGCCAACGTGCCCACCAGGCGGCGCCGGCGCTTGGCCAGCCGCGTCGCCGCCGCGTGGGCGACGCTGGCCGACCGGCTGGCCGCGGCCGCGGCTCTGGAGGAGCTGTCGGTGGTGTGGGATGTGGGGAGCTGCAGCTGCTCCTCCTGGCTGCGCGTGCTGTACCCACCCTTGGATACCGCCACGTTGCTACCCGCCCTCCCCCGCTTGGCACGGCGTGGCGGGCGCCCGCCGCCGCTGCCCCGCCTGCGCTGCCTGGAGCTGAGCTGCGAAAGCGGCGTGACGCTTTCGGCAGCACTGGCCCTGCTCCCCAACCTGCAGCAGCTATCCATCGGGCCTGGGGGCTACTCATGCAGCGAGGGGACGTTGCTCCCCGCGTGCCGCCGCGCGCCGGCGGTGCCCGCCTGCCTTCCCGCCACCCTCACAGCCCTGGTCCTCAGCGGCCCGTGGGCTGCGACCAGCCTGGCCTGCTGCCCCGACCTGGCAGACGCCCTGCCATGCCTCAGGGAGCTGAGGATGCCTATCAGCACAGCCCAGTTCCCCGCCTACTCTCCGGGACGCTTTCTGAAGGCCCTGCTGCCGCTGGCGGGGCAGCTGGAGGTAGGGCACAGGGTGTGCGCTGTGTGCTGGGCGTGGGAGGGCGCGCATGTTCATGCGAGCATCCCTGCCCGCGACAGCCTGCAGCAGGCTCCACACCAGCCACCCATGCCAAAACCGCGTTGCTCCCCTGCCCGACTCCCTACCCTTCCCCTTGTCCATTCCACTTGTCATGCAGTGCTTGGAGCTGCCTCCACATGTGCTGCCACTTGTGGTGTCCCAATTCACCGCGCTGCAGACGCTGGTCGCAAATCGGGCGCCTCAGGAGGTTGCCCCGGAGGTGTGGGACGCCATCCTTTCCAGCCTCAGGCGAGCCACCGCAGCCACCTGCACCGTTTGCCCGGGGCATGCATGCTGTAGCCAGCACACCACGTCAGCGCACCCCGCCAGGCGGCGCAGGTAGCGCCTTGCAGCTTTGCGTTGCATTCTGCCCGCAAGTGCCGCACAACACTTGCACACGCTCGCCGATGTCCTTCCCACTGGCCCACCCACCCCGTCCCTGCCGCTTCCTGCCCTGTGACCAACCAGCGCAGGCGGCTGCACACCCTGGACGTGACGCAATTTGTGGAGCCGGATGAGAGCCTGACGGTGCCGTTGGCGGCGGCGCCGCCCACCCTGCGCCACCTGCGCCTGGCTGGAGCATTGGATGTCGACTTCCTGCTGCCCCCTGGGGACTATCTGGGGTGGGTGGCTGGCGGCGGCTGGGGCAGGCAGCCGCCAGCCGTGCTGCCCGCGCTGCGGAGGCGGGTGGCCGAACTTGCCGGCCCTGGGCAGGCCCCGCCCCTCCTCTGCCCGCCATCCCTGCCCTGCCCACCTGCCCTCAAGCAACCCCGGCGTCGGCTCCCGCACTGCCCCGCCTCACTCGCAGGCACCTGACCAAGCTCAGCCTGGGCAGTGCGCCAGCGCTGCGCCTAGCCCCTCTGCTGCCCTTCATGCCCCAGCTGCGCCACCTGGCGCTGGAGTGCGGCATCCACCCCTTCCACCTCGGCAGCCTGCCACCCCCTGCCACAGGCACTGGCGACGCGGCCCTGGATGGCGCCGTCGCCGCCGCCGCCGGCCTGCGCCTCGCCACCCACCGCCGCCAGCTGGCGGAAGCGGACGCGCTGGCAGAGGCGCTGCTGGCGTCGCGGCAGCTGCGTGTGGTGGAGATACGTATTTGCCATGACCGCGCAACGATGCCCATAGCACTGTCTCGCCTGGCCTGGACCCTGCAGCGCGCCAGCAGCGCCATCGATGTGCGCCTGGAGATTCCAGAGGAGGAGGAGGAGGAGGAGGAGGAGGAGGAGGAGGAGGAGGAGTGACAGGGGCTGAGGTTGAGGCTCCTGCCAGCGCGCTGCTCTGCCAAGGCTCCGGCCGCCGCTGCTGGCTGCCGGGCAGGGACCTGCGGCTGTGATAACTTGCTACTCTCCAACACTGTTTCCTTTCCATTGATCATTTTCGCCCCGACCCCAGAATCACTGCCGTGGGTGTTTTTCCGCTGTGCTGCCCCGTCATGCCGCCAAATCTGCACCTTGCTTTGATCCCATCACTAATCCTTGCACTGCTTGAATTGGATTTCATGCAACAATGAAATCACAACAAAAACAGAACACACGTGAAGCAGGGAGGGCAGCCTTCACTGCTCCGGCACCCACCAGCCCACCAGCAGCAGGCCGCCCTCGCCGCCGCCGCCGCCGCCGCTGCCACCCAGCAGCGCCAGCGGCAGCGCGTGCGCCATCTGGCTGGCCAGGAAGCCCACTTTCCACCAGGTGGGCCCCGGCTTGGAGAGCGGTCCCAGCGCGCACCAGTACAAGCCGTCAGCGCCAAAGGCAAAGCAGGTGGCCTGCATGGGGGTGTGGCACATAAGGGTGGGTGACTGTGGGTTGGTACGGATGACTGCCGGCAGCCACTGGGGAGGCGCAGTCAGGGCACGGCAGGGGCGGAGCTGCGCCGCTGAGGCTGAGCGGGCGCCCACCCGGAAGCCGGCGGGGAAGGTGTGCGGGTCCATGCTGAGCTGGAGGTCCCAGCCAGTACCGCCGCCGCCCGTGGCGCCGCCCCCGCCGCCGCTGGTGCCGCACGCCGCCTCCGCCGCCGCGTGGCGAGGGTCCTCTCGTTCCAGCTGCAGCACCATGGGGCGGGCGGGCGCCCAGGTGCAGGGGATGGCGCGCTGGGCGCAGTACATCGTGGTACCGCTCCAGCCCTCCAGCGAGGCGGTACGCAGGCCGTAGTGCAGCGCCCGCCGCGCCACGCGCCGCGGCCCAGCCCCTGGCCCAGCCCCGGCCTCCGCCGCCGCCTCGGCGGATGCAGCCGCAGCCGCTGGTCTGCTGGCCGCCAGCGCGGCGCTGCCGCGGCACCCGCCCTCTCCCTGCAGCTGCTGCAGCTTCTGGATGGCAAGCTGCTCGCAGTCTCGCCGCCGCTCAGCCTGGCCCTCGCCCGCCAGGTCAGCCGCCACCCTGGCGCTGAGCAGGCGCCACGTCAGCGCCGTGCACAGCCGCCGGTCGGCCCACTTGGCATTGGCCTGCAGGTAAAGTGCCGCCGCCGCCACCTCGTGCGCGCTCATCGCCCCAAAGCGCACGCAGTCCAGCAGCGCGGCCGCCTCGGCTGAGCTGGCGGCCTTGGCCAGGTGGCACAGCGTCTGGAGAGGCAGGGACGGGCAAGGGAACCAGACGGCTGGAGTGTGTGTGCAGCCTCGCGATGGAAGTGCAGGCAGCAAGGACTGGCACGTAAAAAAGGCCTGGACTCTGCTCTGCTGGGACCCAAGTATCCACCCCTCGCCACAGCTGCTGCCTGGCAGGGCGGCAGGAGCAGACACCCACCTCTACCAGGCAGCACTCGGTGGGGGCGCACAGCTGCGGGCTGTGCAGCAGCTGGCGGCGCTGGGGTGGCGGCCACTCCCTGAGCATCGCCGCCGCCTTGTCGCCACTCAGCATGAAGAAGTGCTGCGACAGGCGGGAGGAGCAGGCAAGCGGCCGGCAGCAGTGAGGCCCCTGTCGGTGCTGCCACAGCAAAAACAGCCCAACGCACCCATCAATGCCGCCAAACACACACACGGGCCAACAACAACAACAACACTCGTGCCACCACCATACCCAACACACACACACAGATGCAGCAGCGCAACACCAGCAACCGACCTGCAGGAAGTCTTGTTCGATGTGGTGTGCCAGGCCGGCCAGCTGCAAGTCAAGAGCCACCCGCAGCACCAGACCCGAGTGACTATCCAGCACCTCTTCCTGCAGGTACCGCTCCGCGGCCTGCAGTACCACTGCCACCTGCGGGGCAGGTGGCAGCAGAGCGCGCGGGGGTGTCGTGAAGGCAGGCTGGCGCGGCTGTCCGAGCAGGCGTGGCGTGGCGTGGCATGCGGGGGCGAGGCAGCTCCAACAGGCATGACTCAGCCAGCAGACCTGCAAGTAGGAGGCTGCCTGCAGCAGGTCCGCCACGGTGGCTGGTCCCAGCAGAGCAGTACCGCTGCGCAGCACCGCCGCCAGCAGCGCCACCGCGCGGTGGCCAAAGCCGAGGGCGATGGCGGCGGGGGCTTCGCCAAAGCTGCAGAGCAGCGCCGGGCAGGCGGCGGCAGTAAGTGTAAGGCCGTGGGGTGGGTTTCCTGGAGGCATCCCTAGCATGCACCTGCCTGCCGAGCGCCGCACCTGGACGCGTGCTGGTAGTAGGCGCTGTGCCGCAGCAGCAGCGCGCTGGAGAGCTCGCACCTGCGCAGCACAGGGAGGGCGAGCGCGGGTGGAGACGGGCGGCGGCGGCGGCGACATTGGAGCGCGGTTGAAGTGTGCTGCCTGCAGCCCTACCCGCCGCCTGGGGGTGCTCCCACACCGCTCAGGAGCACGGTGGGCTCTCCAGCCGACACGCCAGAGGGCTCGTCAGAGGGCTCGATCACGACTTGCTGCTCCCGCAGCGACGATGTCACCAGCTGCTTCCTCAGGGCGATCAGCGATGGCTCTTGCAGTAGGTTGCTATCAGGGGCAGCCCCGCTGGCCTTGCCGGCCCTGCCGCCCTTCGGCATGTCGTCCCACGCTGCCTGAACTGGAGTCGATGAACTAAACGCTGACAGCGCGATCAAGGAGGGAGGAATGGGGGAGAGCACGCCGACCACGTTTGGGCGCCGGCGCCTCACCCTGTGGGCTGGCAAGCCGGCAGGGTGTGCACATTCCCGCTGCTCCGCTGGAATGACGCGCATGCATGTTCAGATTCCAATGTGCGGTTTACCACTGACTTGATCATGACGGCTCGGAATTGGGCAAACCGGTGCACACGCAAGCGACGGCTTGAGCAGAACCCTTCCGCTGCCGCTGCCGCTGCCGCTGCACCGACCGCCGCCCCCCTCGGGTGCAGCAGTGAGAGCAGGCATATTGCCACCGGGATACACCGCCAAAATGGAGAGCTGGCACAGGAAACCGGCGCCGCTGTCGCAGCACCACCGAGAAGCTGCTGACGGGGCGCCAGGGCCGGCACTCCCCCTTGCAGCCTTGGATGCTGCCAAACTGCACTTCTTCACCTCCCCTCTCCACCGATGGCGCAGCCCCAGCGCGTGGAGGCGCACAGGGAGGCGAGCGGCACGAATGGCGACCTCGGCCACTCGAAAGGCCCGCACCCGGCCGTGGCAGGCAGCGGCCAGGACAGGGATGTGAGCCAGGGAGAGTTCCACGGCGCCCCGGTGCAGGGGGAGAGCCCGCAGCGGCCTGAGCCGCGAAGCGAGCCAGCGGTTGGAGGCGGCGGTGCACCGGGTGAGCGCTGGCATCTAGGTGGCCCCTCAGGAGGGCAGAGCCGCTTCCATGTCGCTGCAACTTTGACAGCTGGTCCACGGCATGCATCAAGCTCCATCAAGCCCGCCCACACAGTGTTGACCCCGCATGCTGGCCCCCCTGCCCGCCTGCCGCATCGCCGCAGGCCTGGCCACGCCCGGCGCCACCCGCGAGCCGCGCCAGCCAGCGGGCCCCGGCGCCACCCCCGGCATGAGCTCTGCTGGAAGCACGCCGCGCGCGGGCGGGCGTGCTACCCGCCCCCAGACGGGTCTGCTGTACGAGGGGTCTCCGCTGCGCGGCGTGGCGCGTAGCCCGCGCGCCGCGGGCCTCCAGACCTTTGGCTCCAAGTACATGCCATTCGCGGCAGGTGGGGCACGGCCTGTGCAGCCCATCCCTGGGGCAGCAGCTGGGACATGTGCGGTTGGGCTGGTCCGGGACGCAGCACGGCGACGGGTGGGCTGGCAGCTTTCCTCGCCACGCCTGCCCGCCAAGCCCATCCCCCGCCATTCCCCGCTTCCGTTGGCTCACCTCCCTCCCCACCAACAGACTCCCCTCACCCCCTCCCTTCCCCCGCCTCCCCTGCCCTTCCCCCTGCCCTGCAGGCTTTGCCCACATGGCGGGCGAGGCGCCCGTGTACCGCTCGTCTCGCCTCCACGCCCTCAACCCCACCGCCGCCGTCTCCGAGGACACCAGCTACCTGTACACTCTGGTGGGTGGTGTGGCATGGTTCTCCTGGTGGTGGCGGTGGTGTTCATGGGTGTGCGTGTGGTTGCTTTGTGGGGGCTGGTGGAGGCCGGGAGGCGAGGCTGGTGCCTGCTGGGGTCCCGCCGCCGCGCGCCCGCAGCACAATGCGACGCCTGCTTGCGCTGCTTCCTTCCACCCGGAAGCCATGCCTGCAACCGGTGGGTACCGCTGGATACCCATGCTCCCTTCCCGCTTGCCCCCCTTGCTGTAATGCAGGACTCCGGCCTGGAGACGGCAGCCACCCGCGCCGCCAACCCTGACCGCCGCACCGAGCACGTGCGCAACACGGCGCCCGCCGCGCGCGGCGGCCTGGCGGGGCGCCTGTTTGGGGTGAGCAGGGGTGGGCCAGGAGCGGGCGCAGCATGGCGTCTTCCGCGGTGTGGTGTGGTGGTGGTTGGCGGTTGAGCACGAGGGCAACCGCGGGACACGAGGGTGGGCGCGAGGCTGGGGCGGTGTGCCTCTTCTGCTTGTATCCCAAGCCGCCGGCTGTGGAGGGGCGGCATGCCTTGCGGCTGGGGGTTTTCATCTGCTGGCTGCAAAGGCTCTCTGCAGCATGTTGAGGCTGTGCTGCACTACAATCAAGGGGGTGGTTGGAAATGCAGACGAGATCAGCGGGGCAGACTGAGGGACTGGCTCAGGGAGGCTCTCGTCGCCAGGCGGTGCTGCTCACCGCCGCTGCGATTGTGGTGTGCCTTGCGCCATGGCCCAACTCCCCGCCTGTTGCCCCACCCCATGCCTGCAGCCCATCCGCTGAGGCTGCCCTGGCGCCGGGGGCATGGAGATGGATCCGCACCAGCTTCATTAGTCGAACTCAATGAGCTCTTCCTCTTGCGACACGATTGGTCGCGATGGCGCAGTACACCCGCCCGCCGCCCTGTACCTGCAGCCGCTTTGCTCTTCGTCGCCTGGCCTCTCCCTGTGTTTTGATCGCTTGCTGATTGCTGCACGTCGCATCTGTAAGGCAGTGCGGCCCAGAGCGGGGCATCAGTTTGAGAGGGGGCGATCGCGGAGCGGAGCGGCGCCCGCCCAGGAGCAGGAGAAATGACGGACCTGAACGCTTTCAGCGATGCCGCCTTCGATCCCAAGCTCTTCATCAACCAGGCCTGCACCGGCAAAACGGGGGACGAGCCCCTGGAGCGGTGAGCGAGGGCTGCTGCCTTGCAGGCCGACAGGCCCGAGCTGCAGCCGATCGCGACCAGCCGGCCCCAGCCGCCGCGGCCAGGACGCCGCCACCTTGGCCCGCCGCCCTCCGCCCCATCCTCCCCGCGTCCGCTGTGCCTGCCGCGCCTTGCCGCCGCAGGTTCCTGGCTGAGCTGGAGATGAAGCTGCACCTGTCGGCGGAGGATGTGGGCCTGTACCTGCAAGACCACAGCGGCCGTGCCATGCAGCGCATCCCCGCCGCAGCCAAGGAGCTGCTCCGCATCAAGGTGCGGGTGCGGCTGGCCGACCGCAACAGCGTGGGGGAGTGCGAGCGCCCGACTGCTGGGCTGCGTCGCGGCGGCAGGCGCGGGGCTGGGCTGCCACACGCTGCCGCGCGCGCCCGGCAGCTGCTGCCTGCTCTGCTGCTGGCTTCGTGACCCGCTCACAGTGTAGCTACAGCTCCTTAATATCACACCCGTGGCTCATGCTGCTGCGCCCGTGAAAGTGCCGTGCCCAGCCCTGCCAGCTGCCTGCCTCCCCCTCACCCGCCGCAGGACGACGTCGCCACGCTGCGCGGCTCGGCGGCGGCGGCCCTCAAGCAGCTGGAGGATGCGGGCAGCGGGCAGGCGGCGGCGGTGGTGGGGCAGCTACAGGCGGTGGACACGGTCAAGCGGCGCATGGAGGACGCCTGCAGCACGCTCAAGGTGCGGCGCCGCCCAGCATCGCGGGGACGCCCTGGCCTGCCTGCTCGGTTGGGGAGAGGGCCGCATCCGAGTTGGGGTCGTCGCGGCGGCACGGAAACCGACCTGCCCTGCCAAGATGGCCTGCGGCTGGCCGGCCGGCTGGGAGGGAGCAGGCCTGCAGCCCGCGCGGGCATCCATCCCAAATGGCTCCGGATGCAGCAGACAGCGGGGCGCTGCCCTAGGCGCCTCACCCGCCTCGCCTGCCTCGCCGCTGTGCCGCTACCTCGCCGCCCTCCCTCGCCTCCTCCACCCCTGCCTCCCTTGCCCCACCTCCCCACCAGCAACCCACCTCCTGCCCTCCCTGCCTCTGGTGTTCTTCCCCGGCCGCCTCCCCGGCCGTGCAGGAGGCGGCAGGCCTGTCGGCGCTCTTCCAGCAAGTGGACGACCACTTTGCCAGCGGCAACCTGCGGCGCGTGGCCGACACGCTGGCGGGCATGCGGCGCGGGCTGGCGGTGGTGGGTGACTCTGTGGCGGAGTTCCGCGGCGGGTGAGCACCGACACCCCCCCCCTGTTGGCTGCGCTGATGCCGGGGCTGGGTGGGCAGGGGCTAGCGCTGCGACTATGATGTGCCTGGGCTGGCGCCGGTGTTGGCGCTGGCGCTGCCGCCGGTGCTTTGCCGCGCCTTCGCTTCGCGGCCGGGAGCCCCTCTCCCCTGCTCGCCGCCCCTGCTGCCTGCCTCCCGCGTCCACCCGCCGGCCGCCCCGCCTCCCATCACAGGCGCGACCGCCTGGCTCGGCTGGAGGAGCGATTTGCTGCCATGGTGGAGGCCCCCCTCACCGCCGCCTTTGCCAAGCAGGAGGGTGAGCGGTCCGCGCTGCCGCCTCGCACGCCGGTGCTGCTGCAGCCGTGCCAGGGAGGAGGGAGGGAGCCGGGGAGGCTGAGGGATCACCACCAGCAGCAGCAGCAGCAGGGGTCCCCTGCTCTCGTGCCTCGTTCTTTCCTCCTCCACGGCACACCCCGCAGCTCCCAGCCACCCCCGCCTGCCCCCCCACTCGCGGACCCCCTGCCCCCTGCCGCCCTGCAGGCGAGGAGGCGGCTGCGCTGGCAGGCATGCTGGATACCGTGGAGAGGGGAGATGCGCTGCAGCGCCTGTACTGCGCCGCGCGCCTGCCGCCGCTGCAGGTGGGGTTGCCGGTGCTGGTGTGTTTGTGTGTGTGGTGTGGGTGTGTGGGTGTGTGATGGGTGTGTGGGTGTGTGGGTGGTGGCGTGTATGGTGGGGCGGGGGTGCTGGAGGCTGGCCGGGCAGCCTGCGGGGCAGCGGCGGGCAGCGGCACTGCATACCGGGCTGCCCCAAACGCCCTCCCCAACGCCTGCCCCCTCTCCTCCGTCCTCGCTCTCTCGCCGATGCCGCCTGCGCCGCTGGCACTGACGCACGCGCCTCGCTGCCGACTGCCAGCCCGTGTTGCCCACTCGCCCTCGCTGCCACCCGCAGGCGCTGTGGGATGGCTACACAGCGGGTACGCCCTTTGCCTCCTGGCTGCCCGGCTTCTACAATCAGGTGCGGGCCTAGTCCTACGCTGCATTCTGTTAGCAGTCCTAGCAGCTGGCAGCCCAGGGGGCGCCTGCCTGCCGCCGCTTGGCGCGGCCATGCCTCGCCGCCCTGCCAGCCCGGTTGGGCTGCAGGCAGTGCCTGCCAGCTGGCCGCCTCTCGCCCCTGCCGCTGCCGCGACTCGCCGCGCTGGGGCGCTCTCAGCCATTGCACGCCACTCCCCTGCTTGCCTGCCTGCCTACGTGGGCGTGCATGTGTGCACATGGCATCCCTCCACTCCCCTACCTGCCCGCCTGCCTGCCCCGCTCGCAGGTGGTGCACGCGCTGGCGGCCGAGGCGGCCTGGTGCGGCGCCGCACTGCCCGACCACTGCCCCGCGCTGCCGCTGGCGCTGCTGGGGGCGCTGCTGGCAAAGGTGGAGCGGCCGTACCGGCAGCGCCTGGGCGTGGCCATGGCTGCCGCGGCAGGTGGGGCTGGTGCTGGTGCTGGGGGTGGGGCGGGTGGGGTGGGTGGGCGTGGCGGGGCTGCGTTGGACGGGCCGGGGGCAGGGTGGGGGCTTCAGAGGTCAGAGCAGGGAAGCAGAGTAGGTGCTTGCCTGCACTGCGGGATGCGTGGCTCCCTCCAGTTGTCATCACTGCGCGAGAACACTACAGCAGAAGTGGCTCCCGCCTCTTCCCGTCACCGAGTCAGGCCACCTCCCCACTCTGCCCTGCATCCCCTGCCCACCTGCCTGCCCCTCCCCGCATCCCCGCAGGCTCTGTGATGCCGCTGGAGCACTTGGAGCAGGTGCAGGCGGCGGCGCACGACTTTGCCGCCGCCGCCTTCCGCGCGCTGTCCGCGCCGCCCACGGCCGGCGCCGGGCTGTCGCCGGCCGCCTTTGGCGCCGTGCACGCCAAGCTGCTGGCGCCTGTGGAGGAGGCGCTTCAGCAGTACGGCGACCGGGAGCTTGCGTACCTCGGGACGCAGCTGCAGCAGATTGCCGCCAAGGGTGCGCGCCCCGCTTTTCTTTTCTGCTTCATGCTCCGTCGTGCTTTCTTTGTTCCCTGTGCTTTGTGGGGTTCAGGAGGCATCGGCGTGTTGTGTTGGTGCGTCTGCACCCTGCTGCCGGTTAGTCAGTCATGCCCGCCTGCCCTGACGCCGACCGGATTCCCCTGCCCCCCGGTGTGCCTGCAGGCACCGCCGCGGCGGCGGGCGAGGCGGGCGCGGCGGCTCTGGAGGGCACCATCGCCCCCGCGCTGACCGCCTGCGAGGCCGCCCTGGCCCGCTGCCTCAAGCTGACCTCGGGCACCGCCCTGCCTGCACTGGCCCGGGTGCTGGACCGAGCAGCGCAGCAATATGTGTCGGCGCTGCAGGCGGCGGTGGCGGGCATGCGGCGGCGGCTGGGCGAGGGCGGCGGCGGCGGCGACGGCGGCGCCGACAGCGCCGAGGCGGTGCTGCCGCTGCTGACGGTGGCCAGCCAGCTGGTGCAGCGGCTGGCGCTGCTGGAGGGGAGCCTTCGCCAGGCTGGCGCCGAGGTGGCGCCGGCGCTGCTGGACGGTACCGCAGACGTACCGCAGGAGGGGCAGCTGCCCGGCGCCGCCGCGCTGCGCCTGCAGGCGCAGCTCGCGCTGCGCCAGCAGCTGGCCGCCTTTGCCGCCTCTGCCGCCTCCTCGGCGGCGCTGCTGCCGCTGGCGGCGGCAGCGGCGGCGGAGCTGGAGGCCGGCGTGGGCAGCTGCGTGCTGGAGGTGCTGACTCAGCGGCCCCGCGCCCAGCTGGCAGGCCTGCCGCGGCTGGGCGAGTGGCAGCAGCGCGCGGGGGCCCTGCTCCTCCCCACCTTCTCCGCCTACCCGCTGCAGTATGTGACCTCTGGTGAGTGGGGCTGGCGGCGGTGGCCCCAGGCGGGCCATGCACAAATGGATTTGTTGTTGTTGTTGTTGTTGGTGGTGGTGGTGGTGTGTGGTAGAGCGGCGGCGCCGGCACCCCGGTGGCTTGCATGCGCTCCTGCTGGCAGCAGCGCCGCCGTTTACTGCCTTCCATTCGAGCGCCCTCCTCCCGGGCGCCCGCCTGGCTTTGCCACGGCCCGGCATACACACACCGCCGCACACACATCGCCGCCGGCGCGCCTCGATCCCTCCCTGTTCTCGCCACCGCTGCCACAGTGTGGCCCTGGGTCAACCCCTGCGTGCCCCCGCCGCCGCCGCTGCAGTGGGTGAGTACCTGATGATGCTGCCGCAGCAGCTGGAGTCGGCGCTGCTGGGCGAGGACAACGGCGAGGAGGCGGGGCAGCTGGTGGGGGACTGGATCGACAAGGTGTGTGGGTGTACTGTGGTGTGGTATTGTGCTTGTGTTTGGTGTGTGTGTGTGTGTGCGTGTGTTGAGGTGTTGTGTTGTGTTGTGTGATGTGGTGGCGGGGTGCCACTCAGTGAGCAGCACTGTGTGGGCTTCTGCCCTGCGCTGCACTATGCCACTGCGTGCTCCCTTTCCCCTTCCCCAAACCACAAGCCTTCCCAACCATGCCTGGGCCCCTCCTGTGGCCTGTCCATGCCCGCAGGTGGCCCTGGACACAGCCGCCCACTACCAGCAGCAGCTGGCGGCGCTGCCGGGGCTGACGGCACAGGGCGCGGCGCAGCTGGCGGCAGACCTCGAATACTTTTGCAACGTGCTCACCACGCTGGGTGTGGCGGTGCCGCCCTCACTGGCTGCCTGGCACGCCGCCGCCGCCGCCCCCGCCCACGGCTTTGCCGCCGTGGCCGAGGCGGCGGCGCAGGGCGGCGACGCGGCGGGGCGCGCCGCGGTGGCGGCCGTCGCGCGGCTGCGGGGGCTGCAGGCCGGGCCGGCGCCGCAGCCTTAGGGCATGGCATCACTTTTCGATCCAGCTGGATCCAGCCTGTCAAGATGTCAACACGCCCCCAGCTTTCTCTGAGGCACCCCGTGCCCGATCGCCTCCCCTGCAGCCCAGCGCGTTGCCACCCTGCCTCTGTATTGTTACACCAGCATGCCGCATGCATTTGCGCAGCCGACCGACGCAAGGCTCCCGCTCACTGCGCACATGCCCAGTTACATCTCAGAGCAGCGCCCCCACTCCCAGCACCCTCATCTTCACGCCGCTAACCGCTTGGCTGGGCAGGTAGTAGAGCCAGAGGTTGGAGGAGGCGGAGCTGCCCACCTGGATGCGCAGGACTGCGGCAGGTGGAAAGGAGGGAGGAAAGAAAGGCAGGTCGGCAGCAGGCTGAGGCAGGCTGTCCAGAAGCTTAAGCTCAAGCACAGCGGGAGTGCAACAGGGCAGCAAAGGCAAGGAGCTGTGGGAGGCAGTGGCAGCGGCAGCGGCAGCGCAGGCCCAGAGCCACTCGCCAGCGCCTGCATGCAGCGCGGCCGCGGAGAACCAGGCAGCCGCCGCGCAGCCACCAAGCAGGCAGCTGCCAGGCAGGCAGGCGCTGCAGCAGCTGCTGGTGCGCCTGCGCACGCACTTGAGTACTCTTCCTGCCCCTTGATCGCCTGGCTCTCCATTTTGGCGATTGTGTTGTAGGGCACCTTCTGCAGGGAGGAAAGCAAGGGAGGCGGGCGGGCGGGCAGGCCATGAGCGCCACAGCGAGGGGGACAGGGGAGAGGGAGGGGCGTGCACCCAGGGGCGGCACGCCAGTGAGCAAGCGCCTGCCGAGAACGTAGGCGTGCGCTGCCGGGGGGTCTGTGGCCGGCACACCAGCCACCACCGGCAGGCCCTGTGCAGGCCGAGAGGCAACAACGCGTCTCTGGCACATTTCGACAGGCAGAGTCCTGCCGCACCTGGGTGGAGACCGCGCTGCCCACCCACAGCTGCTGCAGCTCGGCCTTGAACGTCAGCCGCACCTGCGGGAGGAGGGGCACTAGTGGGACTTGTGGGAAGGGCCTGTGTGTGGGCGTGTGTGGCGGGGATGATGAGCCGGGCAGGCAAGCGCAGCCGCCGGGGCAGGATGCGAGCTGGCACCAGAATGGTGGTGCAGGATGGCGCAGGAGGCGAAAAAAATAGTGCAGGAGGGGTGGGCTCTGGAGCCACCGGCTGCCACTGATGCCCCGCAGGCACACGATTCCCCCTCCCCTTCTCGCCAAGCAGCAGCCCAGGCAGCCGGCGGCAGGAGGGCCGGCCCCACCTTGGTCCCCTGGCTGTTGTAGAGGCCAGGGATGTAGGTCTGGTCGTCCCGCAGTGGTACCTGCAGCAGCGGTACAGGATGTCGGTACATGTTGTGATCGTGGTATTGCACCGAGTGTGCCCGCCTCTGCTGCAGCTGCTGCTCCTGCTGCACTTGCCGCTGCTGCCATTGCAAAACCATGCATGCGTCTGCGGCTGGCGCGGGCGAAGCACGCCAAGCACACCCTTGCACAGACCTGCTTGTCCTTGATCCCCGGCCAGCCATCGTCTGGGCGCCCCTTGCTGATGACCTGCGGAGCAGGGCAGCTTGGGACCAGCAGTGGGTTGGGCAAGGAGCATCAGCAGCTGCTGCCCATGCAGCAGCTGCGCATGCGCATGCCCACCCACCACCACCACCACCACCACCACCACACAGGCACCCTCCCGCCGCACCTTTTTGTGCTGCTCCTGCTCGCTCCACGGCTCACTGGGCGGCTTGTCGTCCCAGTCCCCTCCGCCGCCGCCTGCCGCGCCCGCCTGCCCAAGCTTGGTCACCTGCACGCGAGCAGCAGCCTGCGGCCGCCAGTCTCGTGTGCTGCCAGTCAGCCGGGCAGGCGAGGGCAGGGGTTGCGGCACCACGCCGCACGCCTCGCCTCTGAATCAACCCTTCCCCACCTGCTTCTGCGCTGCACACAGGGTGCTGTCCCAGGAGTGCTGCCACCCACACCCATCCCGTCCACTCACCAGCACACACCATCACAGACGCCCACACACAATCACGCACGCAATCATACACATAATCATTCACTTTCCCCACCCGCCGCACCTTGATCTCCTCTGGGCGGCTGCCCATGACGATAACCTTGGAGCCGCTCTTGAGCCCCGCAGCCTGCAGCGTCTGCTCGTCCTTGAGCATCCCCTTGAACAGCAGCTTCTGCGGGGCGCACGGTAGAGGCAGGCAGGGAGTGGCGCGGCGCAGGGTGGGCAAGGCGGCAAGGGCAGCTCCATTCGACGGGAAGCTGCACACAGGCACGGCGGCATGCAGCTCTTTCCCCGGGACTGGACGTCCAGGGCCCAAAGAGCTGCGCCAGCTGTGGGAGGAACAAGAAGCAGGGACGCCAGAGCAGTGATACGCGAACCTGGTTCTCGGGTGGCACGCCTGCAGCCACAGCACGACAGCGGCCGCATGTGGTGGAGGTGAGCGGGAAGGAATGGGCGATGGAGAGCCTTGCATGCTGTGCAGAACGTGCCAACATAGGCACTGTCTGGTGGTGTTGCCGTGTCTTGCTCTCTGCCCCAGTCATCGGGGGAACCAGCAAGGGAGGCGAGGAGTGCCCGCCCCACTGCGCGCGGCGGGGGCGGCGCTACTCCCCACCGCTGTCCAGACCGCCCGCAGGCCGGTTTGTGCAAACCTGTGTGCGCCGCAACGTCGGCTTTGAGCGACGCCACTGTGCTGAGCAGAGGCCGCGAGGTGGTCACCGATTGCTTGCCGTAGGTGACCTTGATGGCTATGCACTCCCCATGATCCTCCAGTGATCGCTTTCTATCTTCAGCAGCAGGCTGTTGCTGCTCCCCACCACCCGCTGGCGGAGGGGCGCCATCCTGCGGCTCTGTGGCGGCTGTTGGGACAACAGCGGTCTCTGTCATGCTGCTGCGGCGATGTAGGGGGTGTTGTCATGTGATCTGCAGCACTTATGGCCAACGCTCTGCCGCCGCTGAGCTGGCGCTTGCCGCTGGGCGCCGAAAGAGACACCAGCACCACATTCACATGCCGGTCGGGCAGACCCCTTCATGCATAGAGATGCTGCTCCAATGTGTGACATGGTGGGAAAGCGGTGTCTGCAGCAAGGGCTTGCAGGTGCTGCCCTGCACCGCTTGCCCGACTTGCGGTCAGGCGCCTGTCTGCGAGCGCAGATGAGGAGCTGGCCAGGACATTGCATGCCACATGGGTCTGGCATGTCGATGGGTTCCGATAGATGAACCTCCCGCTGGCGCTGCCCGCGGCCAACAGGACGGCGTGGGCTGGGCGCCGCCAGGTAGGCTGCCACAGGGGTGACGACCACTAATGAATTGACGCAAGGCCGCCCCTTCTCGGCCCAATTTACGGTGCCTAGCGGTGTGCAGCGGACGTCCCTCTCGAACCACAGCCCCCGTGGCGAGGTGAGTGGCCGTGGTGGTTCTCGTCGCCTGCTGTTCTTGTCCTGTCGTTGGCCTGTATCGGTGCCCACTGTGAAGCGCCTCGGCGAGCCCGTAGCAGGTAGGCCAGGGTTAGATGCACTTGGCGGGCACTGATCTGCGGTGGGCGTGCTCCAGCAGCTCTCTGGATGTTGCTGGGGCGAAAGTGCGGGCTCTGCTGGAGGTCTGGCAGCAGGACGAGCCGCTAGCAGATGTCGCTGCCCACAGCGGCACTGGCACCTGCTGTGACCGCAGCAACGACTGCCAGGCACCGCGACCTGGTGCCTGCGATCCGCGCGCGCCGGAGCAGCGCCCCACCGCCGCCCGCCCTCTGCGCCTGCTCGCCGCCGCCGGCGGTTGGCTGCCGCCACCAACCCGCCCGCCGCCGCCGCCTGCCCCGCCCGCCGCAGGCTCCCGCGCGCTCGGCTGGCTTTATGAGCGTGAGCAGCACCCGCAACCCTGGCCAGCTCGGACCCCAGTGAGCGGCAGCTGCTCGTGCCGCCCTCACGCGACCAGCAGCCCGCGCGGCGCCGCTCCCCGGCCGCCTTCCCGTCTGCCGCGGCGGCGGCAGCACCCAGCGGCGCGCCCCCTCCAGCCGCAGCCGCAGGCGCCGCGGGCCACAGAGCCCCCGGCAGGCAGCCCTACGCGCCGTTCTCGGTTGAAGCAGCCGCCAACGGCGGCGGCGGCGGCGGTAAGCGCAGCCCTTCCAGCGCTCCGGCCTCCTCTGGCGTGGTCACCCTAGAAGACGCAGTCAGCTCCATCCCCGCCACCCTCCAGCGCCTGGTGGATAAGGTGGTGAGGCCCCGCAAGGAGAAGCAGGACAGCGAGAAGGAGGAGCACCCAGACGCGGCGGCGCTGCTGGCGGCAAGCTCCAGCGAGCTCGCGCTCCTCGGCCCCGGCGGCGGCGGCGGCGGCGGCGGCGCCCCTTCAGCGTTAACGCTCGCCAACGGCAGCGGCGACTGGCACGCAGAGGCGGGAGGAGAGGGAGACGAGCAGGCGCACCCGCACGGCGCGGCGCGGCGCGTGGCCTTTGAGACGGTAGTGGCGGTGGACGACGGCGGTACCGTACCGCTCCGTACCGAGTCGGCCAACGACAGGTCCCACTTCGTGCGCGGCGTGGGGCCCGTGGAAAGAAAGATGGACGGCTTGAAGCAGTACCAGGCGCCCTGGGGCTACCAGCTGCTCGAGCGGCTCACCCCGCGCGGCAGAGGCTTCTCCCTGCAGGTGAGTGTGGCCCTCGCCCGGCCGCGCCCCACCCTGCTGCCGCTGCATTCTGCCGCCCTGCTGCCGCTGCCCTGCTGCTGCCGCCCTGCTGCTGCCGCGCCGCGCCAGGCAGCCGCGCTGGGCAGCCGCGGCGACGGCGTTCTGGGTGTTTTCGGGCGCCGGGCGGGCCGCCCGCCTCGCCCGCGCGCAGCGCCGTGCACACGCCGGCGCTCCCGCCTCCCCACCCGCCCACCTCGCGCCCTCTC